CACACACACACGCACCTAAACACACACACACACGCACATACACGCACATAAACACACACACACGCACCTAAACACACACACGCACCTAAACACACACACACACGCACATACACGCACATAAACACACACACACACACACACGCACCTAAACACACACACACACACGCACATACACGCACATAAACACACACACAACTAACACACACACACGCACCTAAACACACACACACGCACATACACGCACATAACCGCACATAAACACACACACACACTAACACACACACACGCACCTAAACACACACACACGCACATAAACACACACACACACACACACGCACCTAAACACACACACACGCACCTAAACACACACACACACGCACATAAACACACACACACACACACACACACACACACACACACATAAACACACACACACACACGCACCTAAACACACACACACACACCTAAACACACACACACGCACCTAAACACACACACACACACGCACATAAACACACACACACACACGCACGCACGCACACACACACACACACATAAACACACACACACGCACATAAACACACACACACACGCACACACACACACACACACACACACACACACACACACACACACACACACACACACACACACACACACCTGTGTGTGTGTGGGTATTTTTAGCCTGATGCTAAGTGCCAGCGATCAGATAGCTGTGGCTGCTTATTCATTCATCTTCTTTCTCTTTTCTTTTTCTCCTTATTTTTTTTGAAGGGGGGTGTAGACATTATTGGCAGGGGCTGCTGTGACTACCTGCTGCCTGCTCTGTTCGTCTAAGTGGACGTCTGAATGCTGTGGAGAAGGAGGTGGAGGTGGTGGTGTGTGAGAGGTAGCCAATGAATGTCACCTCTCATCCACTTTCTCATTAAACAACCTGCTCTCTGTCCGTCACACGGGCTGCATCCATCCGCTCGTTTGTGCTCTGGGCAGATGCTGCTCACACACACTCTCACACACACGTGTGTGAAGGCAGATCCCCCCCCCCCCCCCCATCCCGGGCTGGACAGGAATAATAAGCAGAAGATGATTCATGATGGAGATGGAGAATGTGTTCAGCGGGACCACCTGAGTGACCTCATTTAGCAGACCTGAGAATAAATATAGGCCGCAGCATCACACTCCCGCTTCAGCTCGTGCTGTCTCGGGTCAGTTGGAGCTGGATCTCCATCTCCTCTCCTCTGAGCACCTCGGGGAGCGGTCCTTCCTTTCTACCCCAAACGTCCTGCAGCAGCAGAAGGTGTGAGCTCTTCTCCCGCTTGGGTCATGTACTCGTACTGTTCTTATTTCCCAACATCAACATTTGGCACCTGGTTTCTCTTATGACTTCAGCAGCTGTAGATCTTTTTGTTCTCCCTCTAGTCACTCTGTGGCCAATGATCCACACCCACAAAGAGGGTCTTAAATCACACAAAACCTCTCTTTGGAGCCAACCGCTTCATTCCCAAAAAGCAGCATTCCTTCATGCAATGACCACTTCTTTGGGTATTCTGGGCCGCTAACGGTGAACCGGTTTGTTCCACTCAATCATTAGCAGCAGGCGAGTCGTTCCTTTGTTCTGCGTCCTGTCATTGCTTCATCCCCCTGTGTTTTTATCTCTGCCGAGACACACAGGAAGACCCAATTCCCCAGTTTTCCCCTTTCCAAAACGCAACATGACTGTTGGCCTTTTAATATCTGGAAATCCAGATTTGGATTAACGTCACTGTGGATAGATGAAACAGAGAGAGGGAGGCAAAAATGAGAGGGAAGAGTGGAGTGAGTGAGAGGCTTTTAGATTAAAAAGCTGGCGGCACGTCCGTGTCGTGGAATAGGGTTAGGGAGTTAGTGGAACTGTGGCTGGCACAGAGAGTTTGTGCATGGCCTCTGACACGAGACAAGTGAACAAACCCAGAGATGGGAGTGTTTCCCAGTAAAACCTGTGAATATTCACCAGATCTGCTGTAATGCACCTCCAGAGTGGCCTCTGTTTGGAGAAATTGTTTATTTTCTACAGGAATGATAAGCTAATGACTAGTCGGAATGCAGAATGATCAGGACATCCAGCAGGATCTGACCTTAAATGCTACACTTTGTACAAACATTCCCTGTTGGATGTTGAAGGGAGAGCTAGGAAGTTTTGGCTCCCTTTTAGCACCCCCGAGTGTCCATTTGTAGACCGAAAACAAAACTTATCTCATCGCTGTGCGTTTGTCTTTTTAATCTAACAGCTGAAATGTCTCCCAGCCTTCCTTAGTGTCTGCAGGAGTGATTCATCACTCACTACATTAAACAAATCAGCTGTGTTCATGATCTAAAGCATGCAGGAAACATGCCGGAACCAGACTGCTACGTCTGGTATGTCAGCTCAACTTTTTTAAGTCCCAACAGAGCAGCCTGCCAGTCTGAAGTTGCAAATGCGGTACTGTGGCCACAGGGGGCGATGGGGGCTGGGTGGGCTTTCATTAACCCTGTAAAGGGTCCTTTTAGCACATACTGACTCAAGAAAATTATTTAAAAATATGAAAAAGTTTCTAAGTATCCCTTTAACCATTTTTCTCCAAACCAAAGACTCTTATGCAGAAACACGCTCCAAAAGCATCCCTTTTAAATACTCGTGCAAAGCTAGTCGTAATGCCCCCAACTGCTGATCCTTGAGCTGATATCTGTCCTGAAGCGATCTGAAACACGAGGAAATGTGGTCGGACACGGGTGATGGGCTTACGAAGTTCCAGTGGTACAATCATGGCTTGAATTATGTGACGTCTTGCATCGCCTGAATGCAAACAGCATCTGAAGTGAGCGTCTTTATAAATCCAGCTCTAAACAGGAGCCTCACAGGAACATTTTATCATGATGCCACATCAGCGATGCAGAGCTCTGCTCAGCCAGCCTAAAGGAATAGTTCATTTAGATGACAGAAGTAAGTTCACTCTGAGAGGATTTGCTCTCCCTGAGTGGATATAAAATTCACCGTTCGTGGGAATATTCCAGCGCCTTTGAGCTTGATCTTCAAAGAGCTCATTTTTGTCCAACCTCGCCATGGAAATTTAAAAATTGAAAGGGTAGAAAAAAAATTGGGTGTAAAATCCCAGACGCGGTTAGCGCTTGTGTCAGCGTCTGGCCCGCTCACGGCTGGGTTCAGAGCTGGCCTCTGGATGTTCCTTTTAAACCAGACGTGCTTCTTGTTCAGCCTCCACATAAATCACACAGCGCAGCCAGCCTCGAGTGTTCATTCACATTAGGGCCCAACGTAAATTTAAATCTTTTATTTTTTTTATGGTCGCACTTAGCACTGCTGGTTCCCTCGTGGATATTTCAGTGTCCGCCTTGTTGAGTCTGCAGCAGGGGGGCCATTTTTACCAAAAGGAGCTCCTGTCGCGATGTTATCTCGGTCCGTCTCGCAAATTATCACTAACCAAATGTTGTGGTTCCCTCTTGTAATTTAGAGCCTTTAGTTCAATCTGATAGCATAGCATAACATTAGTGCAACTCATTATTTTGTTTTCATCAATTTCTCTGAAGTAAAAAAAGCTGAAATCCCACCAGGCAACATAATGTCAGCATTAATAATCCTTAGCAATGACAGGACATGAATCAACCAGAACTTTTTTTTTTCATAGCGGCTGAGGCGCGTTTCAACACAGCTGGAAACATTAGTTAATAACAAGTAAACGCATGTAGAAACACTGATTCACAATGCCAGCAAGCATCCCGGTGTTTGTAGAGCATCCCCCTCCCTCTGCCTGGAAGTTAGCTCCTCTTTCTCTTGTCATTAGATCAGCATCCTCTCCAGGACTGTGTCATCGTAATGAGGGCGCCATCTGAAGCAATCATCCCAGGAGATGGTCATTGAGTTAGGAGAGAAGGAAGGGGAGGGGCTGAGCTAGATATCTCAGATTAAAGAAAAAACAAAAATCCCCAAATGAAGTGAGGCCGGCACGGATAATGCGAGGAAGAGAAACAAAAGTGGAGGAAGGGAGTGCGTCGAAACGGTAGACGAAGCGGAGATGGAGATCATTTGGGAAATTCCAAAGTTAGAGCTGCCATCTCGTGTGCGTGCTTCCCCCCAGCACACACACACACACACACACACACACACACACACACACATGCAGCCTCTGTGTTAAGGTCAGAGTCACACTCTGTCTCCCCAGGTCATTATCAAGGGCCCTAAAATAGACAGTCGATTGTGTCATGGTGTGTGAAGTGGCTGTGACATTGGATAAACAACCTTAAACTCCTCACCCAACTTAGAACACACTTTAAAGCAAATGGAGATAGGCAGTCACACACACACTCGCTCGCTCGCACACACACACACGCACACAAATTCTTGTATTTGTACCCATGTTAGGACTTTGTGTTGACTTCCATTCATTTCAGTGAGTCCACTATGCCTAACCCAAATCCTAACCAGTGCATTCCTAAAGTTATCTGTAACAAAAACTCAATTCACATCTTATCTGTAAACCTCACCCCTATAGGGAGTACTCCGTGTTAGGACCGGGTTCGGGTCCTAACAAGGACCGTCGGTTGTAAGAAGGTTAGTAAATATCCCAAATCTGGTCTTCACAAGGGTACAAATACAAGCACACACACACACACACACACACACACACACACACACACACACTCTGGGATCTGACCATGTTCCTGCTCTCCACGGCGGCGCCCACCCGCTCTCGGTGGACTGTAATGTTGTTCCATCCATTTGACTTCACTTCATTGTGTTAATGAGAGATGGCGGTGCGAGAAGCCGCCGGTTGATTGAGGGTGAGAGCTGCTAATCACTGCAACAGCTAATCAGTGCTTGTCGTAAATATTGATTAGTTCTGTGCGTTTTGGACGTGCTCATTAACCAGTGTGTCAACGTCTCTTCTCCACTTTTTTGTCCTCTTTTCTTTACCCTCCATCACCTTCATCCCATCCTCCTCCCCATCCCCATCCCCATTCACTCTCAGCAACTTCCAACGGCACGGTCGAGGGCCTGGAGAACCGGGAGGGAGGCGTGTGCAAGAGCCGAGCCATGAAAGTCATAATGAAAGTCGGGCAAGGTAAGCGTGCGCTCACCTCACATGTAGAACACACAGCAGCGCTGCTGCCTTCCAGCCATGTTTCACTTTGGTCTGACATTTTCATTTATCGTTAGCGTGACTTTGTCCGCCACCGCCGTCCAACGAGAAGTGCTCCTAAGTTTGTTCTGTGTAATATGCCTGCCCCCCTCCTCCCATTCTTGTTCTGGTTGATGAAAAACGCTCTATGATTATTCAACATGAATAACTTTCAATAACAGTATTTAGGCTGGTGAAATTCTTGCAACAATCTTTAAATTCAGTTTGTGTTCCATTGTGATGATATTATAGTGATTATGATTTGATAGATAACAAGACAACATCACAAGAATGAATTAGATTTTCAACTAAACCTTTATTTTTATATTTATTAACATTTACTTTTATTATAATGAATTATAAACATGTGACATTGAAGGCAACACCTTATGCAGTTCAGCACAATGTAAACAAAAGCTGTAAAAGAAAACTCAATATTATAAACAACACAATATTCTGCAGACCCTCCCATTCAGACGTATTAGATACTGATATTCAGTTTGGACCAAGTAATTTCAAAGAATTTCCTAGAAAGCATCTGGGCGGCTCACAATAACATTTTAGGAAGCATTCAGATTAGGGCTGGGCGATACGGCCTAATCATTAGGGTATATCGAGGAGTTCACCCCGATAACGATACATGGACGATAAAATGGATAAAATAGTTGTCCACTAGATTGGGCTGTCGCGCGTCTTTCATTGAGTCACGTTGTAATGCGACTCAAGGTGGTAACCCTAACCCTTCTTAAAGTGGCATGAACGTGGCCAACCTACACACATCAGGGTATCCGCGGGTCCTTAAAAAGTCTTAAAAAGTCTTAAATTAGCTTTTCCAAATTTAAGGCCTTAAAAATCCTTAAAAATGACAAATAATCCTTAAATACAGTTTCCAGAGGTCTTAAATGACCAAAGACCCAATAAACAAAATTCTTTTATTTCTATAAAATTTTCGTGAATTTCTAGTTAGTGTTCAGCATTTTTGTGTATGATGTTGCCGTAAACGGAACCATACACGTTCAGTTGGTTGTGAAAGGGGGATATTTTTAGATGAGCACGTTAGCTGGTTAAGCTAGTGGGCGCTTGCGCCATGGGGAAGGGCAAGTTTAATGGTAACTGGATGGTTAATCCCATGATTGCGGAGTGGTTAGCACCGGTTCCAGGCAATAGCTGGAAATTATAGCTTAAATGATAAATGACCCGCACTTGTATAGCGTCTGTCAGAGGAAGGACTCCAAAGCGCTTTACACTACAGTGTATCATCGATCCATTCACACACACATTCACACACTGGTGGTGATGAGCTACGATGTAGAGGCGAGGCTGCCGAGCACAGGCGCCACCGGTCCCTCCGACCACCACCAGCAGGCAAGGTGGGTAAAGTGTCTTGCCCAAGGACACAACAGCAGAATTCTCTGTCTGGAGCTGGGATCGAATCTGCAGCCACTGCTGCCCTGCTTAAATAGCTTAAATTTGGTCAAAGTGGCCTTAAAAAAGGTCTTAAAAAGTCTTAAATTTGGCTCCCTTAAACCTGCAGATACCCTGACACATCTTTTCATTTTTTTATTATCAAATGTATTGACATGGAAATTTCAATACTGATACATTTTTGGTATATCGTCCAGCCCTAGTTCAGATATTTTAAAGCTTTGGGTCAAAAAGATTAAATTTCCTTCCCTATAAAAATAGACAGAATTTTTCTAAACTCTAGACCAAATCCTTGCCTTGCAAAGTTTGGTCTGGAACGCTCCATTGGAACTTCCACAGCTCCTAGCTGCATTCTGGCTGGCCAATCACAGCTCTCTAAAGGGGATTCAAACCCATAGAGCGCTGTGATTGGCCAGTCTGCTCTGTGGGCTAATCGGGGCCCTGTATTCGTCTGGTGGGCGAGGTGATGCAACAGAGTGGAACAAGATGGCGACAGCTCATTTGAAACGGCGTTTACATCCATTTTGGACTATTTGGACTTTATTAGAACCAGGAGCAGATAGATGTATTTAGGTACTTTATTTAGAAATAAGGATTTATTTTCACCTTCTTCAACAGAAGACTGGCTCGTTTACCGACATCCTTTGTGGTGAGTACGTCACATCGTTCATTGTCCAGTAGCATGCAGAGATCATTTGAAAGACAACGGCAGAACCTGCCTCACGACCGAGAACCATCAATGGAGCGTTGCCAGACTACAAAATACCACTAAAGAAAAATAAATAAATCTTGTGTAAGAATCACTGTCATGTTTAACTACCAAGATGAAGTAATGAAACATGGAAAATGAAGCTAAAAGGAACCACAAATACCACCTAGTGGCTGGCTGCAGTATAATATTTACCCCCCCTTTATTTTCATGTATTATCTTTCCTACATTTGCAGCTGTAATTAGTCATCTGGAGCTTAAAAAACAATGATGTTTGTGGAAGTAGACGGGGCTTTTCCAGCCGCAACCTAAGTGTAACAATGCAACATGACAGCTCCTGTAAACAGGAAGTTTAAAGGAAGGTTTAACTGCTGTAATAATATTACTTTAGTGGGTGAATTATATTAACATGTATTTAGTTTGTGTCGGGAAACAAGTTGAAACAACTCAAACTGAAGCAACAAGGATGGTATTAATAAACTTAGCAAGATATGCTAATTTATTCAGTAAGAGGTTTAAAAACACTTTTCCTGACCCAGTAAAATTTAGAGCCAGAATTATTAAAGAGGTTATGTAACCCTTGAGAGATTTAATTGACCCAGCCCATAAATGTTAAATTGTGTGGGAATTTGCAAAGACTATTTCTTATATTTATTGAACAAGTACAATTGACTTTTTTCATGTAAATACATAGAAATAAAAATAAATAGAAAGAAAATACAACCAGTCTGAAGTCATAACACACATTTATTTTACTTTAATTGACCGCTGTGCATCTCAGGTGTTGTTTCTAGTGTAGGGAACTTTTTTGACCTCAGAAATGCTTCAGCAGTTTGACAGGAGCGACCTGAGCTTAAATTCTGACACGTTAGCACAGCTAGCTGCTGGATTTGACTCAGTTGAAATGAAGACAGCTGGAATTCATGAATAAATGCATATAAATATAAAACAGTTCATGTGACTGTCAAATACCATTATTTAAACCTGTTTTTGTATCCGTGTGACATTTCAGAAGCACGCTGGGGATTTTATGGATGACTAACATGAGAAAAGATTTCAACAACTACAAAAGACATGTTGGATGTTTCTATGTGAGAGTCCAGTGGGCATTTTCAACTTTATGATGTGTCAATAAAATAAAAGTCAATCGGTGGAAGGAAAACAGTAGAGCCTGAGGTGTAACTCTCAGATGACTCATTCAGGAAAACTGCTTAGTCTTCACTAAGCGACAGAGGGGATATACTGTGTTAATTATCTGTTTAATAGCAGGCCTCTGTTTGCATTAGGCTACTGCAAACAATCAATAATCAGGACTGCGTTCATGCAGCTAACTGTTCGATTTGCAGGATTTAAGCGTCCCAGTGATGAAGTGACGGATTAATTAGCCATCGGATTCCTGCCTGGTCATTTTGGATGTTCCGTTTCCAGCTGCATCGATGCATCGATAAAAGACGATGGAGGATTTTATCATTGCTGCCTACCCGCTCCGATTGTTACGATCTTATTTATCCATGAATAGTTTCTGCAAACTGACGAATCCCACAGAAACATCTTCATGACAGACGACTTGTGTGGACTAACTTCCACGTCCAAGTAGTGGAAGGGCTCTCTGATGTTCCTCGGCCGTGAGTCTTAAGCCCTTTTCAGACAGACATTCTGGAACATTTGCGGACAATTCAATCAGGTTTTTAACCGGAACTGTGTTTTCAGACACACCACTTTTGTACCGGAACTTGTCCTTTCGGCTGCGTTCACACAGCAGGGAAAAGTTCTAGATGTCTGACGGCGGCGGGGAGTGGGGTAGAATCAGACTTATGTTAAGAAGAAGAAGAAAATATCATTTCCATAGCGCCTCTCAAAATAAAAATCACGAGGCGCTTAAGCATAATTCTGCGCACACAAAGACGCATAAGAGACCTGGATGATGAAGCTCAATGGTTAAAGGAATCACTGAAGCAGTGTGAAGCGCTCCATCGCGCGTCTAGACGGTACCGTAGGAGGCGAGCTGCCGTGGTTCGCCGCATGCTACAGCAGCGGGCTATCTAGCGTCCCCCGGTCCCTTCCTCCTTCCCCTCCCTCTTGTCCGGAACTTTACCTCACCAGTCTGAAGCAGCCACTCTGTCCGTAACAAGTCCGGACCTGTTACTAGGGGCTTCGTCCGGATAAATTCCGGAACACGTTATCCGGATGTTTGTATTCAGACAGAAAGGTCTTACGGACAGATTCCGGAACATTTCCGTTTTTCATGGCCTGTCTGAAGGGGGCTTTGGAGTAATCAAAGAACCAAAGTGTGCACGGCTGGGGCAAGTCATGTAAAAATGCCGGGGGTAAACAAGCATGCTTTGTTTACGTATCCTTGGACGCAACATTTGGTTTGCATCATACATTTCACTTTTAAATGTAGTTTCGGCTCACTATGTGGACATCTATATCCTGGGTTTGACAGGGAACAGTACACAGATGTGTTAGCGTGTAAACATTCCCTCCATCCTCACGGTGCTTGTTTTGACCCAAACAGACAGTAACCTCCATCTGAGACGAACATCTGCCCGCCGTGGTGATCTGACTCCAGCCCTTAAAGCTGGATCTCACCACGTCAAACATAAACAGAGGCTTACTGGAAAAAATAAAATAAAATAACCTAATAAAACAGCAGGGGAATACTGGCGTGTGTGCAGATATTTGGATGTTGGCTAGTGGGATGACAGCGGCGTATCCTGGCAGTCGGTGGGAAGAGTAGAAACTAACAAGCTGCTGATGCTAGCAAGGTTTGAGCAGGAACAAATTCAGCAAATACAGTCGAAAAAATAAATAAATACCCCACAACCGTCTCAGCAACAGACAGGCTTTGCGTTATCTTTCCCATGTAGGTCAATTTGAGCATCTGACAGCCTGGGATTGCAACACCGCGGCAGAATGACAGCAAGGCTGTATTAGTGCAGCACTTTTTTACCCTCAGCTATTAACTTGGGAGGAAAAACGGTTCCCTGTGTTAATGGAAGTTAAAAGGAAATGTTTTCTTCGAGGAAAGTTCCAGGAAAGTTCCTCTCTGCTGGGGTCTGTTTCTGTGGCTCCCGGCTGTTCCTCAAACTCCGCCGAAGCCGTGCACTCGTTTCCCAAAACGGTCCCTCAGCGGGCTGTCACTCACGATCAACGTGCCCTAAAAACCCTGTTAGAAAAAAGATGCTGCGAGCCCAGCTGCTGCTACTTTTAAATCTATTCCTGTGGCTGGAATTTCTATTCCAAATGCACTCGTTCAACCAGCGGAGGACGCTAACAGCGGCTTTGATGTGACTGCTGTTTGCAATTGTTGTTTTTTCCTCTGGAAATCAAAAGGAGCTTCCATTAATGCCATCTGCACAGTCAGGACCACTTCATTATTATTACTGTTATTATTACTTAAACGCTGGTTATTTTGATGGTAAAACGACAGAAAATGTCAACTATAATTATTAGAACAAATGCATTTTTAACTTAAAATGATGGCTTATAAAACTTAAAAATGTACTTTTAATGTATTTTATGCTTTTAAAATGTGTTTTTAAATATATTTAAAATGTATTATAATTATATCTATTATATATGTAAACAGTAGAAGTAAAAGCAGTATAAAAGTCATGCTTCTGCAGTGTTTATTGTACATTAATTCTATTTTCCATTTTCAACATTTTATTATGTTTTATTCAGCACAATTATACTACCTCTCGCTTTAGTTTATAGATTTAACACAGTTAAAATAAAATCCAGAGTGAAATAAATGTTTCACTAAAAATTAAATCATTTAGAGAATTTTCATCACATCATTCCAGCTTCTGAAAAAAATAATTTGAACCAAAAAGAAAACATTTTATCAGTTATTTGAGTAAATTTGAAGATGTAGTGCTTCTGGGCACTTTTCTGCTTGATGTTTGATATTAAACATAAAAATCCTCAGCAGACTAATCAATAATGAAAACAAACATTACTGGCTGCCCCTGGGCGCTACATTCTGCAGCCACACTGTGGTTTTGTTTCTGCAAACACAATAAAACCAAAGCCTCGCTCGGTTCTGACCCCAGATGTTATTG